CTACACCTCTGCTACCCCCCCCCCCCTTCCGGCCCTTCTTCCCGGCGCCATCAAGGGAAAAGACTCACTAAACTTTGCTTTCGGCCTGCCAACCAAAATCTTTGACAGTATCCTAACATTTTGGCTTGTGGTCATGTAGTATCGCCAGCCTTTGCAGATTGCTTGAAGGATGGTTTGTGTACTCACTTAAACCTTGGACCCTAAATCCCTAGTACTGGGTTTGAAGGCTTTGGGATTGGTTTGGGCTTGAGGTATCCGATTGTTGTATTTGTAGCTTTCAGGTCGCGAAACCTCTTGGCAACAATCCTCGGCATGCCTCGCCGCTCTCCATGTTACCTGGTCCTGCTTCCAATCCTGTTGTGGCCTTTCTTGGAATGCTTCTGTGGCCTTCACAAACCGCAGCTTGCCGTCAAGACACGGAAGCTCTCATTCCTGTTGCAGGTGACTGCAAAACGTTCCGAAGACGACCAGTGGGACATGGTGCCAGTACCGGGATCGGCCTATGTTATAAAGCTGGAGGCTGATAACTGTGGGCATATGGAAGATTACCTCACGGACACGTACGAAACAACTTCGGAAGCACTTGCAGAAGCCTTCAGAGACAGGGGCAAGGAGGGGGGTATCCGGGAGGTGAGGAGCATGAGGGCCGAGTCCATGCAGACCAGCTTGTTTGACATGGGGTCAAGAGCGAGGCAACCTTATGTCTTCCTGCTGGATGTAGATGGAACCGGGCGCAGTGCAAAGAAACTTTTGATATTAATTGAATTCTGTAACAAGGCAGGTTTTACAGCAACAAGCATTCAGGCCGGGTCCATACGCACCGACCTTTTTCAATTGACATGAGCCGCGAGGTTGGGCTATATCTTCAAACAGGGCGTCTTTGAGATGATTGCAGCTTACCTGAAGGTCACTGTCGGAACTCTTCCAGCAAATTTTGCAAATGCGATCAACGGCAGCTGCAAGAAGGCAAAGATCACTGTGAAGAGCATTGAAACGGCCGGATCCGTACGCACCAAAACAGCTGCGTGGTCTTCCTCAGACTTATAGACCTAAACATCCACAGCGCGGAAAACGTTACCCCCGAACAGCGAAGTTTATTCAAGGATGATTTGAATGCCACGCTATTGAAGGAACAGGATGGATGGAGTGTTGATCGCTTAGGCAGGAAATGTCTTCAGTTGAAGGGTCCTCGGCATGAGCACGTGGATATTGCTTTTGTGAATAGGACTTTCAACTGGGGGTTCAATGACCGTACATTTATCGTTGAGTTCTTCGCCAACAACACATCGCGCAACAGGCAGTGAGGATGTTCAAATATGTGTTCCAAAACGCCCAGGGCCTGTGCGGATGTCATCTCGAAAACCTGGCTCGTGACGTCTTCCGCACGGGCATAACGGCAAAGCAGCTGTTCGATGAAATGCTGGTGCAGCTGCGAAGCAACGGCTGCCATGTGCAGAAGGTAATCGAGGACGCGGTTGACAAGGCCGAGGTGCATGACCAGGGTGCCCAGCGCTTTCAGTTGCAGAAGCAAGTCAAGCGAATGACGGCCGTCATTCAGAGTTCTGGTGTTCGTTTGCAAGGTGTCACTCGTACAAAGCAGCTCCGTGGGAGAGGAAAAAAAGAGCTGTAGCCCTGTCAACTCTTTTCGGCAGCTGCTAGAAAGCTGCTGTATCCTGGCATTAGTTTAGAAACTTAGTAGTCGTAGACCTCGATTGCGTATAATGTTGCCAGGGGGCGTGGAACCGGTGAGGGTTCCGGGTTTGACCGCTCGGGAGCAGCGGACGAGATCTAGCTTGCTTTTGGGCGTCTAGTTCTCGGAAGCAGGCCGTCATCGACGATTTGCTCTTCTACCGGGTGGGTGATGACACCCTACAGGCACAAGCCGCAAGCCCTTGCATTTCGACCACCCGCCTTGTGCAAAGCTTATCATTGATGTTGCTGTTCATACTCTTGTTCAGTAGCCGTTCTGTCTTGCTGCCGTCCTGATGCAAGTGAGAGGGAGTAGTTACTTTCTTGTTTTCCGCGCCAGCCGTCGTGTGTATTGATGACATCTGACGACTAGAGTCTCTTTCGCTAGCATCCAGTATGCTTGGCACTTGCAGAGGCATTTGCCAACGACATTGCAACAAGAGTCGGTACCTGCCCATAAAAGTCGTTTGCTGCGCATTCCTGTTGCTCGTGTTGTTGAGGCATTCATGTTTGTCTTCGCGATGCGAGCCCCTAAACCCAAAACCGTGATGGCGATCATCGTCCAGGTGGTTGCTTACATGATTCCGTGGTGACGACGATGGGAAAGGTCGTGGTGATGATTTTGATGATGATGATGATGATCATCATCATCATCATCATAATGTTGGGGATGACCATGAGGATGGTGGAGATGTTGATGGTGACAGTTTCATGGTCACAACCATGGTCATCATGACGGTGGTGGTTAGGACGGTGGCGGTGATAAAAGCCTTACACACAGTGCAGAAATGGCTGATGCTGGCGACCATGCGGGTCATTGTCATGGATACATTGATGATGACAGTTCATGATGATGTCGATGATGATGACGATGATGATGATGATGGCGGTAATGGTGATGACGAGGATGAGGATGAGGATGGAGAGGAGGAAGGCTGCTCGTTTTGGCATCACAGTTATCGTCGGTGATACTGTTGGCTGGGATGTTTGATCTCGTCGCTGCAGCCCCCGTTGAGGCAACGTGTGGTTGTTGTGGTTCTAGTTGCTCCTCTTCTTCTTCGCAATATCATTCTTGGTGGTGGAGGTGGCCGTGCTGTCATTGTCGTCGTTTTTGCAGATGTTGCTGCTGCTTGTTGTTGTTGCTTGCTGCTTGCTGCTTGCTGCTTGCTGCTTGCTGCTGCTGCAGCAGCAGCTGCTGCTGCTGCTGCTGCTGTTGCTGTTGCTGTTGCTGTCGTCGTCGGCTTCATTGCTTTTGCTGTTGTCGCTGTCGTGTGTTGTCGTTGTTGTTTGTTCTTTGTTGTTGATGATGCAGTTGTTTCGGAGCGTTTTTGCAAGGCCCACCGCAAGGAGAATACTTGGTGGGTGCTGCTGGGGAAGGCCACTTCAGTTGCTCGATGGCGCCAGTACTAGCTTAATATAGAGGCCTTAATTACCTATACTATTTGTTGGGGGGTTCCCTATTAATTATATATATATATGTATAATCTATATATATATATATATATATAGCATAATATACCCCAAAACCCTATTCCAACTGTTAAAGCCCCTACATGACACACATTACGTATTGGCGGGGATTCTTGCTAATCCACACAGGCTGGAGATCCCAACCCCGAGCCAACATGAACTGTGCCGAACCGCTCTGGCTTCTCATGCATCGCCCCAGAGGTAATGTAGGGGCTCACAAATTAGAATTGCGGTTTTGGGGGTTCCTTATTGTAATTATAGTATAATAGACCCCCAAAAAACCCCGAAACCCTGTTCTCATTATTCAGGCCCCTATGTTAATCCTGAAAGGGTTGAAAGAGGGTTTAGGAAGCTCAGGGCTCCAAGATTAGACCTGCACTTGTGCCGACAGCGGCCATGATTCTTGGAGGCTTCGGCGTTGGGAAACTGTGGGAAGGTTAAAGAATCTCGAAAACTGCTGGATCAATATCGTCGGATATCCGAAATCGTCGCCTCCACACTGCTCCTTTCTCCAGCGCTACACGGTGCACATGCTCTGCTGAAACTCTCAACCTCAAGCCCAAGAAGTCCTACACAAGCTTCAGTTGCTGATATCATTTCCGCCGCGCACAAGACTCTCTACACGTGCCCGCAGCCAAACCCCAAATTGCTGCCAACATTACGCGCCAACGTAGCCGCGAAATCCGAAGGTTCCCTGAGTCCACTTGAGCCCTTTACACCATCTTTTCCCGGACCACAAAAATCAGAAATGAGATGAACCCTAAACCCTAAACCCTTGGTGGTATTGCGGTAGCAGTGCTATCAGCTATGAATTACCAGCTTCTCAGGGTTTAGGGGGTATCTAAGGTTGAACCCATGGGCCCCTAGTATGGTGGGATCCTGATGCACCTACTATATACCCTATATTTACCCTTAACGGTCCCTAGAAAGGCCTAAGGGTCCATATGAGGGGCCCATACCTCTAACCTTAAAGGGTCGGTGCCCTGTGTTTCTGCCCTGAACCCAACCACCCCAGCTCCGAGGAAACCACGAGCCGGTCCTCCCAGTTGTGGGTTTAGGGTCCCGATATTTGGGGTTTAGGGTTTAGGGTTTAGGGTAGCTACTGTTGATGATATAATTCCTGCATTTCCTTTAGGACACTAAACTATGGGAATTATGGCAGATTCCTGGTTATGGGAAATGCAGGAGTTATATCATCATTCGTATCATCATCAATGCTAGCATTAGTATGGCTGTGTATGAATGTTGGTACTCGTACTAGTATGAAGGTTAATGCTCGCTATGATATAAGTTTCTCGTTTAAGCAATAGTGTCGAGCAGCTTCAAGCCATAATGTGCCGCCTTGTAGATGCGGCCGGTCGAGATTGGTAGCGATCCCAATGTACACAGACAGACGAACTAGCCACAACAGGGCCCCCCACACCATGGCTGAACTAAGTTGGGACGCTACATAAGACCCTACACCCCACGCTTGAAACCCCGACCCCAAATTCCAGCTCTGAGGCATCAAGGGTTTCTTATGTTAAAGACGTTTGTGCCCAGAGGCCGCTTTTGGGTCATCTTGAGCGGTAGGACTTCGAAGGCTGAAGCCCTGAACTCCCAACATCCCCTTGACCAGCTCGCCAAACTCACCTCCAACGATTTACGGTTTCGGGTTTAGGGCTTGGGGGTTTAAGGTTTAGGGGTGTAGGGTTTAGGGTTGAGGGTTTAGGGTTGAGGGTTTAATTAGCAAAGACTGGAGCACTGGTCTACTTTGTCAAAACCCTGTGAAACACTACTCTACTTTTAACAAGCCCTGAGGCACTAGTCTACTTGTTAGGAACCGTAAAGCACTAGTGCACTTGCTCAAGATCTAAAGCACCGGTCTACTATAGGGGCCTTAATAATTAGAATAGGGTTTTTGGGGGTGTGTTTTACTCATTGGGGGGGGGCTCCTTCTTTTAGTTAGACTAACTAAAAGAAGGAGCCCCCCAAAATAGTACAGGTAATCCCTAAACCCTATAAACCCAAAACCCTAAACCCTAAACCCGAAGCCCTAAACCTAAACTCTGAACCCTAAACCCTAATCATTAAGGCCCCTACATCTCTTCTTTCAGAAGGCCTCCCCTATCCTTTCCTGCTCTAAAGCAGGCCTGCTGGTCGCAGACATTCTGCCTGCTGGTTGCGGCTGCCATCCTCCAGCCGCATGGCTGTACCTTAACATACCAAAACCTACTTTTTTTTGTAGGGTCCCGATAAAGGGGCCCGCACTTTTTTTTTTTCCTACCGTTGGCGGTCCCCGGCGGCCCTTGGTAACGTTGGCGGTAAGTTAAGGATTTTAAACAATTTA